TTTTTTACCAAAAAAATTAAATTTAAATGTTTCTAAAAATTTAAATAACTGGGACGTAGGAGAAATCGTAAGCTACATTGTAGATAATACATTTTAATTTGTAAATCAGAAGAATTTTATACTTCAAACGTTCCAATCCTTCTCAGCGATGGGCGGCCAGCAATTTACAATCCAACAGAAGAGGTTTCTCAATAACTCCTTCATTTTGCAATATTTTTACTTTGAAAAAATTTGGAAAAAAGTCCAAAGTTACATTTATACCCTCCCAAAAAATTGAAGTTTTTCATCCAGCAGATACCCATTAAAAAAATTCCCAAGTTTTCCCTTTTTTTAGACGCCTCAAAGTGCTGTAACGCTCATTTCAACATAATTTTTCATAATCATTGATTTTTCACAGCTCTAATATTGTCGCGTAAATAAAATTTACTCGCACAAGAAGAACAAATTCGATGTCTGCAGCCAGATCGAATGGGTGGTAAATGTAACTTTATACACGAACAACGTCTCGACGTGTCACAAAAATACTCTTATGCTCTCGGCGAGCTAATCGAAATATTCGTCTCTCGCTCCTACGCGACAACGCTGCTTCAACAAACTTCGATATATATATATATACAATATACAGAAGCTATAACAAAAAGAAATATATCTTTTCCTCGATCTTCATTCGTCAATCCGATCTCGTTGATCAGCCTAAATTTCCTTCGATCAAATTTTCCACTCTTTTTCAACTGAATCCAAGCAAAAACACATGCAACGTACGGGAATTACGATCCGTTTGTCGTCGCTCCTCAGAGAATTTACATACTACAAGTCACAAAGTCGTGGAGTGGTTTCGAAACAATAAAAACTCATTGGGAAAGCTTCGCGTTTTCGCGTCGAGCTGCTGATTCTCGATATCGTGCACATCGTTGGTAGTATCACGAGTATGCGAGTGTGTCGATCGCTATGAGTCCGTCTATCTCTCCTTTCGTTACTTTATTCTTTTATTTTTTTTTTACTTTCTGTTTAGATTGGACCACGTTGTAAACAGTATGAGTAAAGTGAGTGAATGGATATCGACGAAACGAGATCTCGTTGCACAAAGAGGAACGTACGGTATGTTATATGTGTATGCGGGGGGGAAAAAGTGTACCGTGGTTGCGTTGCAACGAATAACTGCTATTACGTTCTTTCTTTTTCTTTTTGTTACTTTTTCATCTCGATAATAACTGTCCTACTGATCTATGAGATGCACCTCTCGCGACGACAAATATGCATTACCTGCTCTCCTCGCAGTTATTCATTGTAGGATCAACGAAACAGGCTAATTTCTCGTTCAACGTAATCGCTGATGAATTACGCTGCTGTTATTACACCTCGGGAAATTTACTATGTACAGTTATTCTCACTAATATTCGGACACTATTTAGAATATTATAAAATATTTCAAATTGGTCCAGACAACTTGAGTTTCCTTTTTTTTAGAAACTAGAAGGATTGGTATGCTAGATTATGTGTGTAAGGAAGTTTGACAAAATTGCAATTTGTGGAAATTGGGAAGAAAATTGTAAAGGTCGCTTTTTACAGCTTTCTTTCTTTGAGTTTGTAGCGAAATTTTAAAAAATACATTTTGTAGATTTATGCTGATTATATTTAGGTTGAAAATTTTATGGAAATCGGTTGACGCAGAAATTAGCGACAGGCATCGAAAGATGTAAGAATCTTCAGATTTATCGGAGAAATAGTGCGATTTTCACAATTTTTAACCATTTATATCTCACAGCAACGTTAACCGATTTCGATGAAATTTTCAGTATATGTACAATTGACATAAATCTACAAAACGTATATTTTCAAATTTCACCACAAGCTCGCCTAAAAAAGTTGTAAAAAGCGACCTTTACAATTTTCTTCCCAACTTCCACAAATTGCAATTTTTCCCAAAATTTGTTACACACATCATCTAAACTACACAACCAATCCTAACTTCTCAAAGAAAACTCAAGTCGTTTGGTCCGATTCGAAGAAAGTTAAACTCTTCTGAACAGTGTCGGAGTATTAGTGAGAGTAATTGTATGCGATTAAACTTGCTCGAATGTGTGATAAATGATAGGTTGCACAGTTCATTTCAGAATTTCGAGCAGCTTGTAATTGGAAAATATATGGCTAAACTTCTGATTTCGTAACTTTCGTGCAATTAAAAGTAACAATAACGTTAGACAAGTTTTTGATCGTGGAAATTCTACAGGGAAATTGTGTGTAATTTGTTTCGAGACTTTATCGTCGATGCAAACTGCCAGACCGTTTCGATAATGCTTATTTACCGTGGGACAATGTTGTTAATGTAAATTACTCGGGATCATCGTGTTTTTCAGCGTGTGATGTGTTTCTCTACTGCAATGATCGTTTGAATTTTATGCGGATTTCTTCAAGATTTTTAGAAGAATCGTGCAACATTGATTCTTTCATTTCGGTGACAAATTTTTTGAAAAATAATCCAGCAATTGAACGTTATTGAACGTTGACCGTTCATCGAGTGTAAGATAAATTAGACAAATTAGGTGAAATATTCTTTACGACAGAGGCCGCATTATTTCGTAATACTGGAATTTTTGGGGTTTTTTTCGTTTTTTTTTTTTCGGTACTGTTACTATAATCTTGAAGAAGATCGATCGGATGGCCTACGTCATGCGAATCGTTGTGAACAACAGATCACGATGACAACCACAGAATAGGAAACAAAGTGTAACTTACATTTCATCTGGTTTCGTTTGCGCCGGCAAATGATGAAGATCGCTACACAGATGATGATTATCACAATTATCAGGACAACTGCGGCTACGATGACGATCAGAAGAAGATATCCTTCCAATTGATGCCACCATGGTATGTGACCTGGAATTTGAATTCACTTAATGACAATACACTCTACCACTGAGAGTAACTTTGAAATTTATGATCTTTGAGATTACGATTTCGTATGGATTTATTCTGGGAGAGCAATCTTAGTAAATAAAACACTTTTCACGTTGAAAAACTTTGAAATATATGATCTTTGTGATAACGATTTCGTATGGATTTATTCTGGGAGAGCAATCTTAGTAAATGAAACATTTTTCACGTTGAAAAGTTTTTTAACATTGAACTTGAATTTCTTTACATTGAAAAATGTAATTTTTTCAAATTGAAAATTTGCTAACTTCATAACTTTATAACAACGATTTTCAATAAATGTAGCACACGAAAGCTTATAAACAGTCGAAGGAACAATTCCAAAACCTTTCAGAAAGTACCGTAAAAAATTGTGGAAATATTTGATATAAATGGAGATTTCTAAAAATGTTTAAAAAATTCGACTTTGCAAATTTGAAAGCTTTGAAATATTATTACGAGGAATTTTCAAGAAAATGCCGAAATTTCGTTTCGTTGAGCATGTCCAAGATGGCCGCGTGCTAGGTGCAATATTGAATTCACGTAAAATTGACTAAAAACGTCGATTTCTGTGATAAACAGGCGTTAACAATTTTTCCACCGGTAAGTAACAAGGGATTGACGTTAATTTTGGAAATTTCGCGCCGTCCTTTCCCGGGTAACGAAGTAAAACGGCCGGTGGACGAATTGCAATTCAAATGTCAGCGACAGCTGTGAAATATTATAAATACAGAAGGCAAGACGACCGATTTCGAGCGAAGCTTTTCATATTCCTGCTTAGATTTAATCCGTTTCCCTTGCTCTATAATATTTTACCACGAGCCACCTTTATTACGCAAGTTTATACGCGTACAAAGGGTGCTCTGTTTTAATCAACCCCGGTGAAATATCTTTAAAGCTAGCAACCCATAAAACTTCTTTCATTCAAGGAAAAAACAATATAATCGGGATAATTTTTTATCGAGCTGATAATTTTCAAGCTACTTTTGATCCTTCTCTATTTTTTTTCTTACAACATAACCGTTACATTGGAAAATTTTCGCAAGAATATTGTTCTCTTCGCAAGATAAAATAAAACTGCAGAGTGGATTGAGACAGCAATCTTGGAGAATTATTTAGTAAAAGAAAAGAATTGCTTTTCGTACTTTATGCGTGTGAAAATATCGAAGTGTTACTTTTTTCTTAATATCGTGTATTTTGTCAAATTTAACTCTCACTTCACCATTTATATCAAATTAGTATGCCAACGAGGAAACGTTAAATCTAACGTATGATTTATCGAAGCACGTTTACTATATTTAACATAATCATCAGGAGGGAACTTACTTCGATGTCCATGGTGAGCTAAGAAGAAACAGAGTTTAAAGTATTTCTTATCCATTCGCTATCTGTCTACTTAAAAGCTGAACAGTGAAATTACACGAAATAATTATAATGCAATTAATGTTCATATAGTACACAAGTTCATTCTTCGAATTTTCGACAATTTTCCGCTACAAACGTGACTCGTATCTTCTCGATACGCTAAACTACGAGGCACAACGAAGCTATTTCTATGAAAATTTTAATAACTACCCCGAAAAAATGTTTATCGTAGATTTATTTAATCGCTGGTATATTCATGTCCTCCTGGGGAGAGTTGCACTTTCCTTGGAAGATACGATAACGCTTAAGATGTTGGAGGGTAAACGTCCCGCTGGAGGGATTTTGAATCATTTTCTTCGTAGAATTTGTACTTCACCCTTCTATCTCCTATTTTTACCGATGATTATCGGCCAGAACAGACTTTCTCTTAATTAGTCGAAATTAACATAAAGATTGTCCACTAATTTCAGCAGAGAAGAATTATTTCGCGGTGGAAAATTTGAACTACTTGGACCTTTTCTCTTTTTCAATCTAAAACTGGAAAAGACGAACAACAGGTGGCACGGTTTGCTGTAAAATTGATTTCTATCAATTTCATCGGAATTACAAAGAGTTTCATCGATGCAGTTTCATAGTATTCCCGTATTTTCGTCGCAATTTTATTTAAATTCTTAATTGTAATTGAATTTATTTAATAGCAGGTCAAATTAAACGCTGCACACTGAATTATGCGAAAATTCATATTCACGGCTTTACTATTTGCAACCACGTCGATTTACAACACAATTCTCAAGAAAATTATTTTAAATTATCCTTTGCGAAATTAATTTTCAAGGAAAATATTTAAACGTGCAAAGTTCACTTTTCAGAAATGTCAACTATATGAAAAATTCATTTTAAATATTTAAATTAACAATGATATCGCGGTCTCGTACGAATCGTGTCAATATTAGAAATTGACTTGAGCGTACAGAGTTCACTTTTTAAAAATGTCAACACAATTAAATCACATCGATACTAGAAGTTTACAAAATTGAAATTTGTCAGATCAATTAATTTACATGTTGTTCTCATTTGTAACTTCAGAGAAACGAATGAAATTAGAAGTCGATTCGGTTGATTCGAAACGGCTTCGAATTTCTGCGATTTTAAATATTTGAATTACGTCACAATTAAATCACATCGATATTAGAAGTTGACAAAATTGAAAGTTTTTTACATTAGTTAATTTAAGTAAGTTTAGAGAAAGGAATGAGATTAGAAGTCGATTCGGTTGATTCGAAACGGCTCGGAATTTCTACAGCGGTGAATTCCATGGGAATGAGTTGACATCGGGGGAAACACTCATTTAGATTTAACCACGCTTTCTGAGAGCCCCCGTCATTTGTTGGCGAAGTCGTTGAAAATTCATGTCTCCGACGTATCTACATAAACCCTAATAAAAGTATAACTTTCTCATCGCCTCGATCCTTGCCCTATTTTACATTTACATACTATCTACATATTATTAACAAAAGGACAAACTGGAATTTTCATTAAAGCGAATTTAAACACCTTTTAACCCGTTGAACGAAAACGCGCGCGCGCGCGCGACAATTTCTACTACTAACCACAGGGAAATGATTACCGTAGTTGTCACGTTTTAAAATAAACCAAGAAAATAAACGGAGAATGCAAATAGAGCGGACGAATCCGGTTCAACCGAGTAAATTAGTCTTTCGAATTTAAGCGGGGATCTCGGATCCGTTCAAGAGGAATCTAATTTCCAAACTTTCGGCCCGAAGTGTTCGTGTCGAATGCTCGATTTGACACGGAAAAATATTTGCCGCTGTCTTGTGATTTGTTCGCGAATGAATCAAACGGAATAGAAGTATTGCGATGAAATAAAAATATCGTCGCATTCGTCGTTCGATAAACTAGTTGGATCAGCCACTGTGGATGTGGAATGTCAACTTAATCGGCGCAAAGGAAATGATCGATGGTATTATTTGTCGTTATCAGCATTAAATATCAGACTTTCTTCAAATTTGATAAATTACTCTTATTTTGAAGTAACGAAAATGAAATATTAAATCGAAGTGCACATTTATTGTGATATTTTTGTTGAAACGGTTCGACAAATTGCAAAATCTATTATAATTAGAGGTGTTCATATTTTGGAACTGAATTATTTAGATTATTCTTAAAATTAGATTAATTTTTAGTAATTCTAGTTGGAATAAATGTATTTCAATTTAAACATCGATTACTGATATTTATTTGCCGATAATGATTTATTTACTGGTTTATTATAATAGTGCCATTATTGTAAACGTTCTCCACTTTCAGTTTCGAGTTTCTTCATCTTTATTACACATGAACCGACAATTTCTTTCGCCTCGGGGCATAAAATCACGGTTTATCGGTAGAGGATCTTAGTAAAGATGTAAAGCATCTCTCTATGAATATTTAGCAATGTTGCTAAGAAGGTAATTCCGTTTTTTGCAACTTTTGCAATACACCTTTTTTCCAAAGCAAGAGGACACTTACATGCTAACCAGCAGAATTTATCTAAAAAATGTGCAGTTTTATCTAAATCTGTTGTCCAATTATTTGAAATTTATTTCAGCCTTTCTTCGATTTTCACAGAAAAAAATTTAATAAATTTTAACAGGCATACAAGAAAGTAGAAATTTTTCAAATAAATCCACGATAACTCTTTGCGAATTTATTTGTGAAAAGGGCGGATTAGAAAATGGTAATGTTGATAATGATAGCTGAATTTGTTATCTAATTATTCGAAATTTATTTCAGCTTTCTTCGATTTTCACAGAAAAAAAAATTTAATAAATTTTAACAGGCATACAAGAAAGTAGAAATTTTTCAAATAAATCCACGATAACTCTTTGCGAATTTATTTGTGAAAAGGGCGGATTAGAAAATGGTAATGTTGATAATGATAGCTGAATTTGTTATCTAATTATTCGAAATTTATTTCAGCTTTCTTCGATTTTCACAGAAAAAAAATTTAATAAATTTTAACAGGCATACAAGAAAGTAGAAATTTTTCAAATAAATCCACGATAACTCTTTGCGAATTTATTTGTGAAAAGGGCGACAGAAAAAAAAATTTAATAAATTTTAACAGGCATACAAGAAAGTAGAAATTTTTTTAAATAAATGCATAATAATTCTTTGTGAAAAACGCGGATTAGGGAGTGGCAATAACGACAATGTCAGCTTTCAAGAAATTGAAAGGAAATATGCATCGGGCGAAATAAATGAACTGCACGGTTATAGTTCGGTATCTTTTTTTTTTTTAAAGAGCTTTGAAGACGCCTCCTGGCTTTCTTAATCCCACGCTTTCAGATTCTCCGCCTCGGACATTTTTCTTTACACGTGAATTACAGCCAGACAATATAACACAAGAGCCACGACGGGAATGTGATATCGCGAGAGGAAAAATGACTGTGACAAGAGAATCCGTTCTGTGTAAAAATTCGCAGCAGTTTGGAATGGAATCCTTTTCATAATTAAATCGCAAGCTTTTCCGACCGAATGTCGTTATAATGTACTAGATCTTCGTTATTAAAACTCCGTTATTCCGGTGTAATAAAACGCCCGAAATAGTTCAATTTGGAAAGCTTGGAAATTAACGCGTCCATAAATGATTCGAGAAATATTAAACATTTTTAATGGAGCTTTTATTGCACTTGAAAAATGATTTTATTCCTCGATTGAAAACCAGAAAAGGTTACGTTTAATTATTGTTCTATATCTTGTTACCCACGAATTTTCCTTTAATTTAAACATTAACCGTCGATAACTGAATAATTGTTTTTCCTCAGATTTTTATCTAAACACGTTAAATTACATTTTTGTGTGTTTCCAAACGAGCACGATGAACGTAATAAATGGTAGATAAACTATTCATTTCAGTTTTCATCGAGTCCAGTTTATTATTTTAGTTAAGATATTGTTGAAAATGTTGACCGTTATCAGCGAATTCAATTACGCTGTTTGCAGCGTTTTCTACATTTTTAACGTCAGTCATCAGTCAGATGCACGCGAACTTGATTGATTTTCAAACGCATTTTACTCGAAAACGAAACCTGCGATGCAATTTTTTTTTTTTTTACTCCTGATTTTTGCATTGTTTTGAACTATAACGCAGGCAGAGTGGTGTGGTTATTGCGAGTGTTGTGTGGAGAAGAGTGAGTCGTAGAGAGTTGCCATAGTACCGCGAATTGTATCAATCGTCATATTTGGTCAATTGTCATTGCCATAAAGTGATGCTAATGATTTTCCTTTCACCGTTGTTAGAATTTCTAATGCCAAAATTTTTGTACAATTTTTCAATACTGTCAATACTCAGGATAAACTTTCTATCGAATTTCCTCATCTGAAGGCATAAGACACATAAATACGACTGTACACTTAACACCAGAACTACCAAACCCCGTCAAAACAACGAATTTCGATTTCTCAGATTAAATTACAGAAATTAGTAAGACGCTTTTGTTCGAGTACACTTATAGTGCCTTTAGTTGAAATAAAAAAATAATCAGATGTGCCACTTTATTTTCCATTAACCATTCCAATTGCAGAAGTTCTTTATGTAGTTTTATCTAGATATACCAGAAGGAACAAGATTTACCACACTCAACTCTGGTTGTTCTAGTGTTAAACCATCCACTAATAATGAAAACAATCGAAGTGGTCACGTTAGGCGGATTATCCACGATCTCCATAAACAAGTGACCACTTTTACAGAGCGTATACAGAAGCTCTTCGTAGCGAAAGGGTTAACCGATGTTCGTTTCATTATTCAATTGAAATCTGACCAATCGTTAAGGTTAACCAACGTTCGATCAAAAATATCGCGCAACTGTTGACAATTTTGAAAACAGCCACGAAGCGGCAGTTTCGTAATTCATTTGAAGCCTGACCGATCGTTGAACGAGTCTCACTCGGAAGGCAAAGTGACAAACTCCGTGAAATAAAACTTACTAAAATTAAATTACACTTAGAATTAACACAAGATTAGTAAAATAAACGGTGATATTTGTAAAATTTTCATCTAAACCGTCACACGGCATATTTAAGTAGCTCTGTTTCTAACTGTTGACGCGCTGTTCGTGCACATCGTGACGTGTTGTATTGAAATAAAAAATTCATTTCGGCATTCAACGTGTTAAATAACTAAAAATTAAGCACCAAGCATGTGCGTTGATGGTAAAATTGTAAGGTTGTCAAAAAGATGGAGTTACGATCATTTTCGCTTCCGAGCGGTTTGAACAATGAACCGAAGAATTAAACGATAAACATCTGAAAACATACCTGGTACGTCACGCTCACAAGGGTTGGAATGGCCGATGGAGTTGTTCGCAACGCAAACGTACGTCCGGAAATTGGTTACCGACGTATCGAGACGGATGTAGCTTTTTCCATTGCGCGTCTCAGCTACCTGCTCCAACGTGTCGTTGTCGCTCTTCAACGACCAAACGAAATCAGTCTCCTTCGGGTTGGCTATCGCTGAGCACACCACGTAATCCTCGCCGTCTATTCGTTCCCTTTCCACGTGACATTCTGGCTTAACTGCGCAAGAAGAAAACCGCACCAACTTACTTTGGTTTTGCCCGAATACATCTACGTCACGTGGAGCACATGTCTTACTCGCTTTTTGCGCTATTTGTTTGCGCGCCTGGGGTCGTCTTAGATGATAAATATATGGAGGCAACGAGGTGTAACGATGAAATGGAACAGACCGACTGATCTTATTAATCAAGGGAATGTAATTGTTCCATTATTCTCCGAGCTTTCTGGATTTGTGCGCGGTGCTTAATCTTGAACCGGTCACGTGAAATTTTCGTGTATAAACGGTTGTAGGAACACGGAATTCTGGTGAACTTTTTTTTAGAACTCGATAGAAATTGAATTTAAATATTTATTTTTTGCACTCGTACGTTAATAGGTTTAAATAATAATGTAAGAACCAAGGAAAAATTTTTAGGGACCCAACAGGGAATCGAACCCGCGACCTTAGGCTGGCAAGCCGAGCCTTTGCGCACTACGCCAACAACTCTCTCGGTATTTTCGGTTCTATTTGGGTATGGAGAACCCGATATTGCAATAACAAAAAGGAACATAGCGAAATGTGAATTTAGTGGAGCAAATTCAAGGAATGTCTCACAGACGGTACAAGGCAGTTAAGGGTTAATGCAAATTGGTGTATTTAAAGATTGGAAAATCGAACGGAAATTCTTGGTAGGCAAACTGGGTCGTTTGTATCCAAGTCTAATTTTTTTACTGCTTCAAGCTTTCGAAAAATCAGAAAAAATTCTGGAGTACTTATCAAGGTCTCTACTATATTATACAATTGTTCGTTAAGTCAAATGTTCAAAATTTTGTTCAATAAAATAAAAATTCGTTTCGAGAAAGTACGAATTTTCTGAATTGAAATTTCACTTGGGTCGTTAATGACCAAAATTGCCTACGCAGAGTTAAGTTTCGAGCTTATGAAATAGTTTCACTGCCGTTTTTCCACAATTTGCAAAGGTTTCGTTGCTTGCGAAAATATCTGTGATTAAAAATGTTAAATGGACTGTTCGAATTACGAAGAGAAATGAAAAATCGATTAAAGGGACGAAACGTACAGTTTTGCGAAATATTTGTCACAGACGATTTATCTGGTTTTCACTGCCAATTGAAATTGCGTTTCTCAGATTAAACGAATTCGACGCGAGTTCCTGCCGCTGCTGTTCGGTTTACTGAACGGGAAATAGTCCTGTACAATTTAATCGATTTTTACCAACTTCGAATCTAGACTTAGGGAACTATTACTCCAGTTTCCGATGAATTTCAAGCTGTCGTTTTTTATCGGTCGTGCTTGAAATTTCAAAACCAAGAGAGAAAAGTACGAAGTAAATGTATCGAAGGAAAATGTACAAGTAATTTTAATAGATGGTGTCAAATTTAGCAGAGATTATTTACTGCAAGATTACTGTTTCACGAATACTCGACAAAAACGCATTTACCCTCGATATTTATTTACAAAATTACAATAAATATAAAAAAATAATTGCAGTAAATTTAAATAACCATCTTCATTTCTGCTTCAAAAGATCTTTCACTATCTTTTCAATCACGCGAGACAGATAAGCATTACAGATCGCCTAAACCTTTCGACACAATTGTGGACATAATAGTTTCACGAGAAAGAATTGAAACATTTCCAGTAAAAGTAAGGAAGAAAGGGAAGAAAAGAGACACCGCGGAAGACAGTAGAAGACACAAGTTTTTCTTGGAGAAACACTCAGCCATGAGAACGCAAATCTTTCTCAATATTTGAACGTCACTCGAGACGACTGAAAGCTCGCGTGCAGGATGTTTCTTTACTTACATTGAACATTCATGATCATGGAAATGTTCCGGCTTCCGTGGCGATTCGATGCCTCGCAGTAGTACGTCCCGTTGCTACGTCTGGGCACAGTCACTTTCAAATCGAGAACACGGCCCTCGATGATGGTGTCCGTCGAGCCTTCCCGAAACCAGCGGAACGTCGGCTCCGGATGCGCCTTCGCGTTGCAGGTCACCGTTTCCGGTATCGTGTCGACGGTGACGTTTATTATCTTCTTCGAGATCGTCATATTTTCCGGCGGAACTGTCGGGAGGGAGAGAGAAAAAAAAGCATCGCCGACTAAAGTGGCTGTATTTCTCTCGTTGAAGCGTTGCTACCAGCTCGCGTGGCTCTCGTTTTATGGCAATCGATCCAAAGAATTACGAGAGTGAGATGGGCTATTCCGTACACGGTAGAAGTGAATTTTCGAAATTATTATTATTGCGAATTTTGAACTTGTTAAATAGAATTTGGAAAATGGAATAAATTTTTGAAATTGAAGAAATATTAGGGGTTACAGGTTTATATTAGATATTTTGATGTTTCGTCTGAGACTTGTGTTAAAATACAGTTCGAGTCTGTAATTTGTGTATTATTTTAATATGAAAAATAAAATTTAATAGGAGGCTGTTTGAATTTCTCACTGTTAGACAAACTGAAAATAATTTTTACAAATTAATTATTATGTTCATCAGCCTAAAAACTTTTAATCTTAATAATTCCTCGAATCTATAAATACAGCGTCATAAAAGATTGTATTGTTTAGAAAAATTTATTCCCAATGGTGTGGTACGAGGATACTTTCTATCACAAAAGTAGAGATAATCTCTCCAGAGACTCGATATATGCACTTTTCATGAAAAAAGAAATGAAAATTGTAACATATTTACTTTCTAAAAATTGGAGAAAAAATCTGGAAGCTACATTTATGTCCTCTGAAAAAATTGAAGCTTTTCACTTAGTAGTTAGCCAAGAAAAAAAATTGCCAAAATTTATCTATTTTTGAACATCTCAAGGTAATACATATATCCATCATATAATTTCCGCGGAAAACACTAACAAACTGTTACATCGATCGAGGTTTCCCTCTTAACTTTTCACAAATCAAAGCGCTACAAAATTCGAAGATTTCAAGGATTTCACAGCCCAGAGCATAATTACTGTTAAAGCTTTCGAGTGTAAACCGTGTCCTTATAGGCAAAGTCGACTGTAAAACACTGCATTATCACTGTCTTTCACGAACCCCGAAGAAGCGACCTGCAATTCTTACCAAACGTAACAACACTTTCTCCATAAAAACGCGACTTACACCCGAGAACCTCAATAACAACGCGCAGTAAAATAGTTAGAAATCCACATGACTTACATTCCACGTGAAAATGAGTGCTGCTCTTCACTCCTGGTCCTATACCGTTGCTGCTGCTCTCGCAGCTGAATTTAACGTTGTCTTCGACGCGATCGAGCTGGCCACTCGGCCAGGCAGTCAGGTTCCACACCAGGGTCGACTGGATGCTCTCGAAGTCGTTCGTTCGCGAATCGGGCGGATGATAAACGTTCGACAGATAGTATCGGTTCGTTTTCGTGAAATCCATCGGCACGCCGTCCTTCAGCCAGGAAATATTGCAGATAGGCGCGCACTCTACCCAGCACATGATGCTAACGTTCGGGGAATTGTACACGTAGCCGTGATAGGGGAGAAGCTTCTTGATAAACGCAGGTGCCGCTATTGACAATCAGAGAACAAGTTCAGCCGGTTCTCCCAGAGGTAGCGACGGAAGAGTCATTGTTGCAGGGCAGGAGTGAGATAAGGGTGGAAACGTGTCAATAGTCGAAACGACGCACGGCGTTTCTAAACACCTGTCTGACCGCGCCAAATCGAAAAAGTCTATCGTTTCGTCTTATCAATTTTCGGTTTCTGAATCTCCAAGGATCTCTAATTACAGTGTTATTTTTTTAAGTAAGGTAATCTTTACTACTGAAATCTGCAATCGTTATTGTCTTTAAAAGTGCCATCTGGGGATTGGAACACTGTGGTCGCAGAATTTTCTGAAAATTCTAAGCTTGCGTGTCGATTTTGGACATTCTGTGGTTCGTCGATTGTTCGTGAATTGATTTGGATTATTGTAGAACAGCTATGACCTTCTTAACTTCTTCAGGGATGCTTTTTTTAAAGTTAGCAAAAATTCATCTAACTTTTTATGTAGTTACATTTATATTCATGTTGAATCGATAGCGATTAAGCTACTTTCCTTGGGAAATTGTGTTTTTCATATTTTCTCTATCGCAAATATTGGAATTTTCGGAAAATTTTAAAGGTACACATATGTGTCGGTGTCCCTGAAGAGGTTGAATAATTTTAGTTTTGGGTACAGATATCTTGATTTTCTCTTAACATGTTTTAATGTTTATTACACTGAACAATAATGTTACATTGGAAAGGTTGTTTTTTCATATGAGATAAAATTTAAAAAATTGCAAAGTGACAATTCCTTTTACAGCAAAAATTCTCTAACTGTCGTCAATACTTTTTTTCTTTTAGAAGATCGTATCTTAGAAATATGTTGGTTACGATAACTTACAGCTCGATATTTTTTGACAAAAAATTCCGAAATCATTGTCAAGTAACATTCGAAAGTCGACGTGCAAAATGTTTATTGAAATAAATTCGATAAAGTGCGAATAAAATGATTCGTATTATATTACATCTAAAGCAGATTTCATCTGAAAGCGAAACGTGCGGCCAATGATATTTTATACTACTTTTCCAGACTTTCGTGCCAGGGGAAATTACCGTTTCATTAAATCATTTCTGACGGACAAGCAGATTACGAGTTTTGCAGATTTATTTCGAGATCTCGGGAAAAATGAACATGTAGATACGTGAAATTCAAGCATGAATACTTGTCGAGCGATAATTGTTACCGGTGCACCGGTGAAATATCACCAAATTTTTGTAATGTTATTATCACCTCACTTCTTTTGTACACGACATACGCGTCAGATAAACCTTCCGTTACGTTGCGGAAATATTATTATGCAAAGTGCACCGAGGAATGTAACACAGTGGAATGTATCTGCGTACGTATAACAAGTAGAAACAAACTAAACAGAGGCAAGAAGAGAAAAGGAAAGAGGAGAAATAAAACACGTTTACACAGTTTTTAAGATACGAATCGTTAATTTAGATGCAACACGGAAACTGCGGTCACGGAAGTCTTTCTACTTTATATTACACAAGTTTATCTCTCTCTTACACAAACGTAACGACTAATAATCTGCCTCGTTTTATTTACATCTGGCTACGCACTTCGAGTACACGTACACCTCGAAATGACAAAATTCATTCGTTGCTCGTTCTTTGTTTCGTTTTCTTGCAAAATTATTGAAAAATTTGTTTATACCATTGACGTACGTTTCGTCGAACTTTCGTCAAGGAATGAAGAAATATTTGAATTTCTATTTCCTTAAAATTTCCTTACTGCGAAAATCGAGAAGTTGTTTTTCATTTTTGCTAATTGTTAATGTTATAAAATAACTTTTGAATTATTAAACGATCTAATGTTTAACAAATTTGGAACAGATATGTGCGGGTTGATAATTCTGTGCAGCTGTGATTGAGAAGAAAGCGAGAGTGCAACGGAATATAAGAGAATAAGGAAGAAAAGAGTGCAAGTAGTACAGGTCGGTCGATTGTCAGACATATGTGGTAACTGGAATAAAACCTGCATTTTTTAAACTATAGATATCTCATTAATGCAATTACGTCTTGGTTTACTGACGCTTTAACAAAGACGGATTGTAGTTAATTTTCTATTTATATTCTCGTCTCGATATTCTGCATAAATTGAACTTTCATATTCCTCTTTAAACTGTTTCCTTTCTAGACTTCTTTTATTAATTACTCCTTCGTACGAAAGAGTCTACCCAGTATAATTTGAATTACACAAACAAGTAAATATTATAAAAATAAAAACATGTTATGTATAAATTGTCTTTATCTTTTGACTTCTAATCTAGCTAAAATTCATCTGTATAAAATTACGAGCTAATTAAATGACACTGAATATTCGAAGTCCAGTATCTTCGTTCTCATAAGAAAATTAAAAAAAAAATACGACACATATTTAAACCTCGCTAATCTCACTAACTTCAACTCCATGAAGTGTCAAAATGAAAAACGAATCTCATTTCTTCCTCCTTGTTCCGGCACATTTTTCGACATTCTGCAAGATTTAACGTTCCCACTGTCGGTGTCGGCCCTGCATGAATCTCCACGTGAAATGAACGTCACGCGAAAGACGCGGGAACAGATTTATTTGACCAGGAATTAGAAAGTTTTTCGACTAACTTTACAACTCACCAGACACGTCGATAAACGTGGTGGCAGGGTCGCCGTCGCCGGCTTCGTTGTAAGCCTGACAAGTAAAGTTTGCCTCGGTTTCCAAATTAACCGACTCGATGGTATAGGTAGCGTCGTTTTCATCCGGAAGTCTGTCAAGGCCTCGTAACCATTTGAAGCCAACTACCTTCGGCCGGCCCGGGTCCTGGACGAAGCAAGTGATGGACAATGGCCGCTTCTTTATTACCTGCTGAGGCTCGTACGAGATCGAAGCTGGACCAGGCTTGTCTGTTACACCACAGGGAAATTGTAAGTTCTACGTGAAAACTCTGGACAAACGTTTCTCTTCTACCCGGCAAATCGATTTCAACTAACGGACCTTTTCCCTTCTACGAATGAATTAATCCGGAATTTTTGGTTAACACACGTTGTTGGTACATTTATTTTTTTTTTTACTTGAAACGTGTGTAGAGCGATTCGCAGAGAGGATCGCAAGTGTATGTAGCATTTAAATTTTGCTCGTTCTGATGTAAACAAGAATCTAGTAATACGGTTTTGGGATGGTAATTTTGTAAGAAATGGTTTACATTCTTTGATAAAAAATGATATACAGTAGCGCACACATAAGCGTCCGTCGCTACCCCCACCAATTCTTGGAAATGGGACATCGGACACTTGATATATCGGTATCCCACTCAGACACATCTCTCTTCTGTTTAGTTAAATTCGCAGAAGTCACCTCCCTACTTAACTCGGTCCCGACTGCGGACGCTTATGCGTGCACTACTGTAAATAGTAATTTGGCTTTTGAAGTACACAGATTGTATATCGTATTAGCATTTGTGTAATTTGTTGAAATTTATAATCCGAACGTTTACAATTTAAAAGCTGTATTTTATTTCGAACGATTATACAGGGCGAGCCGTGTAAAATAGGCCAGCTGATTATTTTCTTCAGTTATGGTTGTATGAGAAGCTATTTGTACATAATCGAAACGGCTTGAAAGGGTGGATAAGACGGAAGAAAAATTCTTCGATGAAAGAAACGGCAAAACGTTGAAGTTTAATTTCCGAATTCTTATCTGAGAAACTCGACACAAATGCAACGCAATGATTAATCCAGTTCTCTCACCTCTTACCAATTCCGTTCCCAAAACTTTCTCGCCAAATATCGAAACACTCGAATGACAATATCATTTTCAAACAGCTATCACAGACAATAGCAAAGTTTAAATCGAATCTCCGTTAAACAGCAATCCAATCGAACGAATCACTCTTGAACAACTACCTTCCTTCTCGATTTCTCCGATGAATAATCGTCGAAAAAAAAGAAAGGGTAGAAAGGAAAAACAAGATTTTACTTTGCTCATTTTCACCTCAAACATTCTCCCGTCGAAGTAAACCATTCAACCGTTCAAACAAAAACTCCGAACTAGTTTCGTTCACAGGCGAAAATCTTTTTCGTAGCGAGGAAAGAAGGAAAGAGAAAGAAAAGAAGAGGAAAGAGAAGGAAGAAGAAATTCTCGCAAAGAGAAGTTCGGGTGCACACGCGGACGTGGAACGGCAGGGCAAAAAGGATCGGATCGAGGAATTAAAAATTAAAAGGGGGGCTCACAATGGACTATGACAGGCGCACTCGGTGAAAGTGGTCCCCAGCCAGCGTCGTTTCTCCCTTCACAAGAGTAGTTCCCGTGAAAGGAGCGTCCTACAGCTTCCAGCAGCAGCTTGCTCGGATCGATATCGCAGAAAATTAAAGATTCCTCGGTGGTCGTGGTGGTCGCGCTGCTATTTCTCGTGCAATCCGGAAGTTCTTTCAGCAGGTCCCCGTCCAAGTACCATCGGACGGCGGTCAAGCTTGCTGGATTTCCAGTAACAACCTCGCAGGTCAGCGAGACGTTCAACCGGTCTGCCTCGTTCACCGGCGCTTCCGGGTCCATTATCACCTCAACCACTGGCTTATCTGCGGGCAAATGAGAGACGGAACGGTGAAACGACTGCTCATCATCGATTCGCCCGTGGAAAAGCGGCTCGTTGTGTCTTTCAATTTTTTCTCTTTTAATGGGTTTCTTTGGTCGTTGACTGGGAGAGATAAATCGCTTTGTTAGTTACCGTTTATCTCCTGCGATTAGATCTCTCTTCTCTTTTCTAAGATAAAATCATTCGGTTCGATTTTGTCTTGTAGCGAGTGTGTTGAATTATAGGTGTATTACGTTAATTATAATTATTAAAATAAGGAACAATGAAACGAGAAAGTGCTTCGAAATAATGAAATTTCAGTAATCCCTCTTCAATTTTTCCATCAATTCAACTCTCTCTCTCTCTCTCTCTCCGAGAGAGATTTCGGAGAAAGAGAGAGGGAGAGCCGAGGCTCGTGTATTTTTTACGAGTTCCAGCATCGCATAAAGATTTACGTTCAAGGCGGAACTATTCAAAATGAAGCGTATATATTTCCCAGGGTTGAACGCGCCGGAAAACGGGCCGTTTATGCTACATCCAGAAGGATAAACAGCGAGAAACGAGACAGCCGGAAAACCAGAAAAGGAGAGGAGCGCACCTGGAAGAAAACTTTCAACGACGATCCAATCAGCAGATTGGCCGGAACAGTTTTCCCTTTTCTGTTTTATTTCTCTGTCTTTTCTTTCTGCCTCGGCCAAGGTAATCAAGATTTCAGCAAGTTCAAAACAAAAGAATCCAGAAAGCGGCCAGAGAGGAGAGTTCGGCTCGAACCGAAGAAGAAGTGGCAGAAGGCGGGAAGATCGAAGGGCGGAGGAAGGGAAAACAACGCGGCCCGCTGTCTCGGCGAAACTAATTTCCCGCGTTCGAATTCACGGCCCGCTTCTATGGATTGTTTGCACAAAATACAACACCCCCGCGCGATATTAAGGCTGCAATTAGAATTTCATTGTATCACGGCCGAGTTTACGGTAACGCGACGTTAACTTCCCGGAAACCGGAAGGGTTGACCCAATAACCAACGTGAACGCTGGGGGAGGAGTTTTGTTTAATCCGCGCTGATACATTTACGGCTTCCGCCGTGGGAGAACGAGTCGTTTCGTGCCGGTGATCCGTGGATCTGCCTCGAACAGATTTTCTCCTTCGTGATTATCTGAATTTTTGCGTAGTTCGAGGTTCCTGTAAGAGGAAGTGTCTTTGTACCACAATTTTCTGAGAAATTCTGTAAATTGTGCTCGTATACGTAATGGAAGAATTGAAATCACTCTTTGGTGACGAGGAAGAATTATATTTTTCCACGAGAAATACAGTAGTTTGGATAAGGAATTGAAATAATTTCATGGAAGCACAATTCAGATGGTCTTTATGTCATACTTAGAAATTAAATAAAGTGTAGAATATTTTTGACCACATTAATTAGTATGGCAATAGAAAAATGGAAATCACTCTTCGAAGGTAAGGAAGAATTTGTTTTTATGAAAAATACAGTAGTTTGGACGAGAAATGGAAATAATATGGAAAAATAATTCAGATGTTTTTTACAATGTGATACTTTGAAATTAAATTAACGGAGATTGATAAAGTAGGTGTGGAATATTTCTGACTACTTTAATTAATGAGTATGGCGATAGAAAAATGGGAATCACTCTTTGAAAATAAGAAAGAATTTTTTTTAACGAGAAATAGAGTGTGACATGAAAAAGCAAGAAATATTTCTACATTAAAATCTAATTTCCCGTAACACATATTTACTCTAAATCATCGTCGCTAATTACCAAGTATGAGCATTGCTTCGGCGTTAAACTCATAAAAAGAAAAAAGAAAGAATTTCTAAAATTAAAATTAAAAACAAAGAAGAAAATTATTTCTAAAATTCTAAAAAAGAATTAAATATCCTTGCAATTTACACATACAGAGCCTTGTTAAAATCAACATATGTGTTAGGACCTGATTAGGACGCAACGAAGTCTCGGTTCGGCGGATTATAGCAATAAACAACTTAGTCACATCTGGCCGCCAGACCGAGGTGCCGACCTTCGGAAGACCGCAATATACCCCCCGTGGACTTACCAGCGCGACACTCGGACAATAGGTCCCAAAAACACTCGGGACCATAAAATATTCGTTACCAAAAGGTCACAGTTTTCGTCGACTCGGTTCGGCGGATTATAGTAATAAACAACTTAGTCACATCTGGCCGCCAGACCGAGGTGCCGACCTTCGGAAGACCACTATATACCCCCCGTGGACTTACCAGCGCGACACTCGGACAATAGGTCCCAAAAACACTCGGGACCATAAAATATTCGTTACCAGTTTTCGTCGACCAATAGCCGAACACACCACGTTTTCCACCTCCAGAACACAATCACCAATCAGAACCAACCTAATGTCTATATATACACCTACACACCTGAGAACCGTCAATCACTGTCAGACGAGTGCATGAGACACATCGTCACGAAACGAACAATCCAAATTCAACTAAACATCTAAAACACATCTAATTAAAACAAGAATTCATCAAAACATCTCCAACATCTAACCCAACAACGAAGTTTTAATACACCTCGAACCAGCGAGAGCAATCATCAACCTGCGCCAGAACTCCTGATCATAAGACTTGATCAAGGTCCACGACGCAACAATATGCACGTCACAATTCGTCACCAATTCAGACAGAACCAGTTACGTTCTTTTTGATTTCTCAATGAAAAAGAGGGAAAGTAGGAATGAAGGATTAAGATACAAGATGGCACCCGGTTTTCCAATACTTCCATTGTTCCCCTTCGATTTATGTTCGACACTTCCTCGAAGAAGTTCGCTATCCTATACTCGGTTGACAGAAATGTAGAGCAATAAGTGTCAGATGCAACCCCAACCTTGCAATGAATTATTTTACCACTTCCCCGTGTGACTTTTGTCGAAGCCACTTCATCCTCTGGTTCTTAGATATTCCACGCTATCGGAACTCCACGGTCGAATTCGGAACTCCGTCTCGTTGTCCTATTTCAATGGATACCGGCTCGAAACGAGCTCGCTACCTTCGTATACAAGAGTAACTTTCTACCTGTATATTTTGCTCGGTGTATTAGCTCCGCGAGTTAAGTAAAATTAGTTCATTTGCTCGCATTTAACCCATATGTCAATAACCACAATTGCCGTCTACTTTATCGTCCAATTTCAGTAGTTTTCTGATAACAAAATTCTAAACTTGAGGCAAACACGGATAGGAAATGTACGAAGTAACAAAGATCTGGCCGGATATTTAAATCTTTTACCTGGAAGATCAACTATTTCAAGTGAGAATTATGCAAAAGGGTACCCCCGGTTGGTTAATCGACCTTTCTCGACAGTTCCAATTTAGAGACAGAGGTATGAATCACATTTCGAGTTACGAATTTTCAAACCTTACTACTCCTGAATATTGTAACGAAAACACTTTGTTCTCTCGAAAAGAAAAGAGAGCGTCTGTTGGAATTTTCTGTTTATCTTCTATAAGTGACTGAATTAATAAGGAGGGGAATTTGAAGTGAATTTTCTTTTCCATAACCCGATATTTAAACCACCCACTATTTACAATTCGATCAGTTTGATAAATGGAGCTGTCCATGGTGTTGTACGGAAGAACCCGGAATTCCAAACAACGTTACAGCGGAACCTAAATCCCCCAATGGAAATTCTGCTTTGAAAATTGCACGTCAATGGGGAATTGTGTGATTCGAATCGAAATTATTCATTTTAATGGATTGAGTTTTCCAATGTACCGAAGCTTTCGCGCTACGTAACATTAATATTTGATATTGCCGACACATACGACACAGCCACGAAGATAAATGTGATCTTGCGGAGGTATGAGCGAAGTTTCGAGTTCGAGACATCGAGAAAATGAAGAACGATAAGGAAAATTATGAAGAGATAGGGAAATATTTTATTTCATTTTAAATACGGTTCTTCGAAATACTTTTTCCTCATTTGGAGAAAATTAAGAATTCTGGAAGTAAATTTTCAAAAAATAATGCTTTTCGAAAATATTTTACCACCACAGTGTGAAACTCTTCTTTAAAAGTTTAAGGAGGTGCTATCATCCCTAGAACTGTTTCATTGTCGAAACAAAAAATGGTTTGGTAATTAGGGTCGTTTGAACTATATTTTTGTAAAGTTTCAAATTTTTCGCAATTTTTTGGATTTCGAACATCCCTCGTTAGTGATTTCAAGTTTCTGTCGATTTTATTGCATTCAATTATTTCTAACTTCGTGATTAGGGTCAGTTGAACTATATTTTTTCAAAGTTTCAAATTTTTGGGAATTTCTGGAATTTCGAACATCCCTCGTTAGTGATTTCAAGTTTCTGTCAATTTTATTGCATTCAATTATTTCTAACTTCGTGATTAGAGTTACTTGAACTATATTTTTGCAAAGTTTCAAATTTTGGGGAATTTTTAGGATTTCGAATTTACCTCGTTAGTGATTTCACGTCTCTACCTATTTCATCGCATGAACAATCGAAAACTGAATTACTTCTAACATATTTTTTCCATAAAAAATTTGTCCAAGGAAGCAGAAAATTTTGTTAAGAAACCCCATTAATTAATGGATATATCGTTATCAACCTACGATTCGGTTTCTCGTTTGGCCCCGGCGGCAACTGAAGATAAAATCGATCGGTTTTTGACAATGAAATTAGTTGTAAAGCGATTAACAGCGGACCGATTGTTGAAATCAATGGGTCGATATGACGATTCGGTGAACCGTGTAATTGTTTGGGCGTTGGCTAATTAAGATACTAGCTTCATTATTCATGGCGTGCTAGTTTCAGTTTTCATTTGCCTCATTAAATAAGTGGCGATAACGGGCCGAGCCCGTCAGTTCGCGCAATTAACTTAATATTTCCAAGTATTCCAACGCTTATGCTAGGGTATTCTGTACACGCTTTAATCGCCGCCACGTGTAAATTTGGCATAATACATAACGCAGAAATTTACGACGATAACGTCGAACAAATTGCATTCCCCCGTTGTGTTATGCTCGATCGTCCTCTTTTTACTCCTGCTGATTTACACGTGGCGACTAAATAATTGTTACGCGATTTATCATCGGCTCGAATTGACCGAACAGCCGAAGAAAATTAGTCCTTGTAACGATGATTAGTGCAAAATGCACGGACCATGCCAGAAATGACAAAATGCCGGGATAAATAGATAATCGACGAAGATATTTCTTTATGCGAATATATTTTTCTTCTTTGTTGTTAATATATTTCTGTAAAATAGACGGATTATTTATTTTGGAATGAATGGTGATTTTGGTTGATGGTTTTTAGAGATTTATTCGATAGGAAATATCAA